AAATTAAATAAAACCCTGCTTTAGATTATTATTTTTTGGGGGGGTATGTTTGTGACGTATTATTTTAACACTTAAAATAAGTTCAGATCAGCTCGTGATAGTTTGCTGCATCTGTGCTGATAAATGCTAACAGTGAGCAAAGACACGATGGACCTACGGCACGACGCTACAGTTCATGCACAAAAAAACAGAACAAAACACAGCCAGTCCTCACCGTTAAACCTGTGTAACAGTGTCTCCATGAGAGCAGTGAGGGGCAGGGAGAAGAGCGCCAGCACAAACACCAGGTTGAAGTTCAGGACTCCGTTAACAAAATAAAAGTGCCACGGCTCCGTACCTGAGAGGTCACACAAAAAGCGTGGAAACAAAACTAATTTTAAAGGACTTAATGTGCAAATGTAATAAAAATAAACAGCAATGTTTTATAACTTACCATACAAATCAGGTCCATGTGGTGTAAAGACGTTGTAGAGGAGAATATTGAGTGGAGTGATCACTGGTTTTCCATAAAAGAACGAGTCTACTGCCACCAGGGGGACCTGAGAGAAACAAACAGGAAACATGAATAATAGACTCAGCTATTTATAATATTATATAAATATTTACTAAAAGATTATCTATATAATCAGTATCATCTGTTTAAGAACGTCTTCATGCACTGATTCTCACCAGCAGCAGCAGAAGAGAGGCRGCTGACCAGATCATGAAACTCTTCCACTCCTTCTTTATCACCAGCAGGTCGAACGCAATCGGAATCCTGAGGAGACGTTTAAAAAAAAAAGAAACAGTGTTTGAAGTAATACCTTTCCACAAGTCTGCCTGAAATTATAGTCATACCCAGTAAGGACAGAAAACGGCCACCCGACGATTGCACCTGCAGCTACGCCCATAACGGCTAACGGTGTTGAGTCCTGAAACCATCCCGTCATGGCAACCAGTGTTGTGTACATACAGAAAGATGAAGGCAGAAAAGCTGGAAAATCAAACAAACAGAGGAATAATCATTTTATTCTTACTAATGATTTCAATAAACATGAAGACATGCTAAATTAAAAAGCAGTAAGCATTAAAAGATAGAGATAAACAAACACTCTAGAGGATGCAGCCCCTAAATTGAGACACAGCTAAAGCTAATCGCTAACCAGTAAGACAACTGTCAGTCTGTGTCGACTCGTTGTGTCCTTAGAGCTGAATACTGGTGGGACTGACACTAACCTGTTGATGTTAGCTTGTTAGTTAGCTGTTAGCAGACTTGGTAAAACTTAATTTATCAGATGCTAATTGGTCCGCTAACTGTTTACAAAGTTAACGAAAAAGCTAATCTGGTAAGCAAAAAAAAAGTTGTTCTGCTATTAGCTAATTAGCAGAACCAAGCCCACCACTGCACTGCAAACTATTAATGAACCTGCCCAACCTGCAGATGAGCAGAACATTCCCGTGCTCAAGACGAGGAACGCCAGCATCAGACGGCCCACGTGCAAACCAAACTTCTTACAAACTGCCCTGCATCACAAACAGACGAACAAAACACTTTACTTCCATTTATCAGACATTATATGTGATATAAAACATTAAAATTGCAGACTGATATATTTGCCATGACACCATTTTATTGAGCTTATGTATTTATTTCTAGCCTGGCTGCATTAATCTTTAACTAAGATCTAGTTTTGATGAGAGGAAAGTAGAACGACAGCATCAAACACCCAATTTTCTCAGGGGTGTTAGGATTTTGAGTGTAGTGGACAAAACAAATGTAAAAATGATTTAAAAAATGATTGTTTTTACAGTTTGAGCTCAGCAGTCAGTCGTCTGATGATATCGTCTGATATCTGTACTTTTTACTCCTTACAGTTTTTAAAAAGGTAAAAAGTAGAAAGTCGTTTCCTCTTTCATTTCGATTTGTTATTGTTTAAAAATATACGATCCTGAAAAATTGTGTCTCCTGGATAGAGTGAATTTAATTGTGGTTGAATGAAAAGTATAAATACATACCATTCTGACACTGTATTTTGTTTGCACATAATCCATCAAAGCTGCACCCTTTGAGAAAATAATAATTTTTGAAGAGGTCACCTGCCAATAAATGTATTGTGGAAAATCTAACTGTTCATTTTTACTCAGTACTTTTACTTTTATTACTTAAGTATATTTTTATGTCAGAAATTTACTTTTGATACTTAAGTACAAAATAAATCAGGTACTTTAAGACTTTTACTCAAGTAATATTCTTAAGAATTAAGAATAGATTACTAGAGTAAATTAAGAGATAGAATTAGTTACTTTTTAACTTTTACCTAAGTTTATGATAAGATACTTGTACTTTTACTCAAGTATCACTTTCAGGTACTTTATACAACACTGATAACTCCAGATTGCTTGTATGGGAGGCAATTAGCAGGATGTATATATTAGGGCTGTGTATTGGCAAGAATTTGGCAATGCGATACATATCATGACAGAGGGGTCACGATACGATATATCCTGATATATTGCGATTTTTTTGTCCAAAAATTCTATTAAATAAAAACCTCTTACAGGGAAAAAAAATGAAAAACCAAAATTCATTGTCTCAGAAAATTCTAATATTACATAGACATACTTTTGATACATTTAGCTGTGTTCTGCTTTGTGTGTATTTTATTTTGTTTCATATTTCTTATTTCATCCATGTTTTCAATTATTAGACTAAATTTGACAATAAATAGTTTGAAAATATATATTTTTTGCAGCTTTTAGTTTTTAATATTAATTTGCAATATGGTCACCCAACACTTAACAATAACTCTACCTCAAGAGGTAGAGTAGCCAAATGGCTGGCTCACAACTGCCAACTAGTGGTCAGAGGCTGAACTACAACATAAAAATGAACGGCTGGCAGGAAAGTTGACATTTTAAACCTTAATAAAAAAAATCGATACAGGGCTTTAGAATATCAATAAAGTATCGGGAAATGAAATATCACGATATTTCAGTGTATCGATATTTTCTTACGCCCCTAGTAAATATTGACTCCTCAGACCTCATAACCTTTTTTTTTGCCAGTATCTTTTATTTTACTATCCTCGTTGGTATATCTAAGGTATAACTTGATAACACCAGCTCTGACCCAGAAAGTCCTACAATTAGGCCAAAAAGAAAGAAAGAACTCGAACACTAATAGGTATTTAGGAAAACAAACTCACTTGTAGAAATAGAGTTCACAGACACAGCAACAGAACGCCAAGACGCATCGTACAAAGTAGAACACCAACACCTGAAACACAGTCCAAACATCTTATAATCACTGCACTTGATCATTAAAATTAACAGCAACAATTGTCAAAAGATTTAAAAGTTATTACACAGCAGGGTGCTGCTTTGAGCACAAGACAGAAAAACAAATCAAACTCCTGACTCCCACCTTGTTCGTCTGCAGAACATGGGCATGGAGACAAGCAGGCAGAGCGTGTAACCATAAATAAGCGTAGGATCTGATGGCGTACAATGGAGAATACTCCCACGTTTGCATTCCTGTGCCATACAAAAGAAAGTGCATCTGTGGAGGGGGGGTGAAAAAAGTACATTTGACTCGGGTATCCTGACACACACGGAGGAGAACTGGGCTTTTTATTAGTGTCATCAATAACAGAGTGTTGGCTTTTACAGCGCTGGTACTCACAGGCTCCCAGTAGTTAAACGTCTCGTCGCAGTCTGAGATGTTGCTGAGCAAAGCTGCACAGAATCGCGCAGAGAGAAGGCATTTAAATGCTGTTGAACCCTCTGGAGCCCACACCTGCCCTCCACGACTTATTGACCTATTAAAACAAGATGTTAGTGCTAAATAAAGATGTAGCAGGTCATTAAGGTCAACATGAAAAAACAAAAGTAATAATAATAATAATTCACGTGCAACAAATCTAGTCGTCACCTGTGTCGTACAGCTGCAACATATAATGCTAAGAATTACTTCATGCCTAAGTGACTATAGTATGTATTTCATTTATATTTAAAATAAAATACAATTAATTCAAATTTGTACAATTAACAGCCTCTGCATGGAAATAATGCAATAATTATTGTGTGGCCATGCGTTATCTCTTGACTTAGTCACCAATTATTATGTTTTAATCCAACGTCACCAAACAGGATCCGTACAAATCTGACTTCTTGCAAGCAAAAAATGCTAAAATTTTATTGTATAACAGTAAAATTGTAAATCATAAAATACTGCATGTATTTTTCAAGTACTTTAAAAGATACATGTTGCAATGTCAGAAAGCCCAACCAAAAGAATAAAAATATATCACAAAGCAAGGAGCAAAATCAGCACAGAACCTTATGATATGGATGTTTAAAACTAAGTTTAACAGATGTGAAAATGGAGTGTATTTAACCCATTTTCTGGAAAATATGGCCTATATTTGTTGTTAACTTCACTGCCATGGCCAGTATACTTGCAGGTGAGTCGAGTGACTTGAGCTTCTGTGATTTTGAACTCAGCAGGTGGTTTGTTTACACTGAGTGCATTCCCACATTTCATATTTGTGTCTGGACCTCTGCTGGAGTGAACCCATTTGATATGGGTCAGAATAAAAAAATATATATATGAACATCGATCAGTTTAATAGCTGTCCTGTTTGTTGCACGCCTGTCATGAGATTAGACAGATTACGCAGCTCAGCGGATCATCGTCACCTTTCTTTTTTATTAAGACACGTCACCTCTCAAAACTGTCAACATTTCTTTTAAGCGGCATCGTTTTCAAGCCGCAGTGACAAATGCTGACATAAAATGCGTCTTTGTGTCGATTCAATGCAACTGTTGACCCAGAAAGATGTCAGGTTTGATAAATCTGTAATTGACTGATAAACAGACGAAATGAATGAAGCTGATACATGCTGCAGCAATGCTGGGACTAGTTTACCGAGGCGGAAGGACACATGAGGCGCACGTACAGCTGACATTTATGTGAGCATTCAGACCTTTGTTATGTCCAGTGGTCGCTACAAGTCATTTTGTCACAACTTGATATGATAATGCTAGTTAGCGAGTTAGCTGCCAGCCAGTCCAGAGATGGAGATCACGGCACAGCGGAGTCCTAACATGTGTTCCTCTGGCTCATTACTCACTCTTGTCGAGTATCTGTGGTTTTACTGTCCTCACTGACTTTCTCCTCTTTAGCTGGACGGGCTTCGGCGGGGGTGTTCACGTTGTTCGCATCTTGTCTGCTGCCTCGCCTGGTTCGCTGCCGAAGCGCCTTGGCCGCCATGTTTACTAAATATTGCTGCCGGGAGCCGAGTCGCGCTTCGTTCGTTCGGTCATTTTCGGCTCTGTCCGGTTATTGACAGTTCCCCATCATTGACTTATAAGGAAAATAAAAATAGAGCTCATAAAATTGCACATTTTGGATTTTAGTTCCCTATTGAGAAAAAAATTATTAATTTTTTTATAAGAAATATATAAAAGCATTAATCCGAAATTATAAAGACAGTTTAAGGTTTGTTTATTGATATAGTTTGATTAAAAATGAAAATGAAGGGATTGGTAAATGTGACAAATTTCAAGTAAACACTTGTGGAACAAGGCATGTTTGTGTGGGATAATGTGGAGCATGCCATAATGCACAAATGTAATTTTAAATATATAAAATATGCCTAATATAAAAGTGTAATAATCACACTTATTAGACTATGCGCATTACCATTTAGGGATTTTACATATAAGAACTTAATTTATTTTCATTTTTTCATCTGCACTATTTATTGGTTCAAAGTACTTTTTCAATACAACACAGGCACACACTTATAGGTTATTTTCCCTATTTATTTTAAACATATTTAAAATAATACACAGACAAATGTTTGACATTTTTTCTCAAGATATTTGGAGCATGTAAATTCCTAAATTGTCCTAATGCAGACTACATGGCTTATCAATAAATCCAAACTAATGTACAATTGTTGAGAACCAATGACTTATCTTTGGCTTTTACTCAGCAGATCAGCTTTAAATTCAATGTAAACTATACATAAAATTTGCTATCAGAAATGAATAACTGATATAAGCTCAAGATAAGCTTTTCCAGTACACTCAATGTTAGTAAACTCACCATCCTTACAGATTTATCCTGTATTTCACACCAGCTTGTGTTGTATAACTCTGGGCAGAGACTCTGGGTATTAAAAACTCTTTGTTCTCTTTTTTTTTGTTTCAAGTCTCGCTTTTTGTCAGTGTCATTTTACCAATGAAATGTGTGACTCATTACACAATGTGACTGACAATTTTTTTTCACTAAATAACAATTTTATTGTACAATAAAACAGTCATACAGAGTAACTGTTACATAATACAAGTCATGTATAAATACTGTAAACAATAACTGAACCAGTTTTAAATATTGTCTTTCAGCTACAAACACAGATTTTCAGGGTTTAGGCGTTTCTGAGGGGCGCTACCTGATGGTGGCCTGCAGCCGAGAGGAGAGTAAAAGCTCCAGCTGTTTGTGGAGTTTCAGCGCTTGTGTGTGTGACATGGCGTGTGTGTGCGAGCGGTAGGTGAGTCTGTAGCAGAAGCTGGTCTGGCTCAGGTCCGGGTGCGAGAACGTGTCGATGAGTTTAACCTGCTCCACGGTGCCGAGGCTGGCCTCCCGGACCGCGGCGTGGAACAGCTTCTCCTCCCACGTCGGGCCCGTCCAGAAGCTGACGTCGAAGCTGAGGGGCTCGGGGAAGAGCGACAAGGGGCGGATGGGTGTCCCGGGTAGCGGGAGGCGGGAAAACTGTTTTGTGAAACGCGAGTCGTGGGACCAGAGCAACCGCCAGTCGGGGAGCGAAAACAACAGAACGGCGAGCAGGTCCAGGTTTAGAGACACGGTGATGGTGTCGGCTGCGCTGCTTGAAAACACTTTACCCACCAAACCCATCGGCTGTGCCATTAGATGCAGGCCTCCCTTCTCTTTCACTACGGCGACGCCGTATGGAGAGAGCAGTTTTTCAAGCTTATGTCCCAGCAATTTCATTGTGTCACTTCCTGAAGGAAAAACACCTCTGAGGAGAAGTTCATGAAAGGCAGGCAGAGCCCACAAGCTGATGGGAGCACTCCTGAAAACCACTCCACTAATGCCACAGAACAAGCTGCCAGTACCATTACAACCCTCATGGGCCCCATCCTTCTCATTTACCCCATGAGGCCGTTTATTGTTAGTTATCTCTTCCTTTTTAGTTAGAAACTCCTCCAACTGAGGGAGCAGCGATGGACGCAGTAAGTAAAGACCACTTTCTACTTCAGGATTCACATCAGGAGAGAACGCAGGTCGTAAACTCTCAGCTCCTTTACTCCTTAATCTGGTCTCTTTACCTGAAGCATCCCTTGTGTCCGCGCTTTTTGAGCATCCTGGATCTTGTTCTTCAGAGTGAGAGGTGAGGTCTCTCTGAAGCAGGTGGATCCAGTAGCACTGTGAGTTATCAACGCCGTGGCAGCACAGTTGGAGCGTTTTGGCTGCAATGAGGTAGGGAACGGACTCTGTCCTCATGGAGACTGAATAGTCATCCGCCAGTCCCGTGAGAAGGAAATCTTGTACCAACTTAACGGGATGGACAGAATCTGAGCAGAGGAACCTCCTGATGAGAGAGAGGAGAGGGTAAACAAGCGCTGAGAGCAGCGTTTTCACTTAAAGAGTTCTTGTGTTACAGCACCTGAACACATGATCGCTGAGCTCGGCTGGTATGTAGTACTGGACCTTCTCCCCTTCTATAACCTCCTCCATGTGAAGTATGGAAACAGAAGTGTAGGGGGCGCTGCGAGCAAACACATGGAGCAAAGCTTTCTCCACGTGAAAGCCCTTATCCTGGCTCCTGCGCAACAGAAATACCATCACTAAATCTGCACACAATCAAAATCCAAAACATGCAGAGGAACACAAAAGGGGGGCATCGACTCGTACAGGGCAACACTCACCTCCACTCCTTACCTGTATCCGGTGCACTTGTAGCTTTGATAGTTCTCGCTTTCAAAAGGACGGACGGCGCTGAGGATTAGATGAGCTTCAGCTGCCATGGCGACCACCTGCCAGCTGTTGTGCCACTCACGCCTCGGCTGGTCCGCCGGTGTTCCTCCCTGTCCATTACAAAGGGAGACGTGGACCTCTCCGTCTTCAGCCAGGACCTTTACGCAACTGAAAACAACAACAAAAACTGATGACGAGGAAACCGCTGTTACATAAGGCTTAATAACAACTTTGCTTTTTTTTATGCTTGGTTCTTAAGATAATCCACCTTTCATTAAAAAGGCTTCTTCTATTCTAGCTGGAGATGAGGACGGTTCAGTGACTGTAGCAACTGTCAAGGTGTAATTGCTGCCTCTAGTTCCAATCATGCTAAGGAAAACTGAAGTCATGTTTTAAATTATAAGCAAAAAACATATCAAAACAAGGAAGCTATCAGMAACAAGCGATGGCTGCCTGCAGTTATACCTGAGGAAGAAGTTTCTGAGGAGCTCTCTGTTCTTTTTCACCCCGCTCTTCCTCCCGCAGTGGGGGAAGTTAAAAACCACCCGGTCAAACACTCGACCCTGCAATGAAGACACCTCCTCCAGCTTTGTGCAGTCCACCTCAAACAGCACAGCTCCTCCTGAAAAATACAATAGAATAGGAACAACCTTTATTGTCCTGCGTGGAAAAATCCAGGTGTAATGTCAGCAGCAGATGCATACATCCACAGAAACAGTGTTGTTATATGACATTATCAACTGCAGCAGTGATAACAGAATTAGATAGTAAACATAAACAAGAAAAATAAATTGGAAATAAAAAAAAATGAGTTGCTACCACTACCAGCACCTAGTAGAGATGTTATCACCTGAGTCCTTGATGGTCTGGATGTTGGAGGCTGCTCCTTCGTGCCGCAGTGCCTCCTCCTGACGTTGCGGACAAGTGGCCGTGATGCTGCTCCCTGATTCCAACTTACACACCGAGGAGGAAAACGAGAAGTTCCCCTCTCCCACCAGCAATATGGACCGTGAAGGACACATGTCCGAGTTAAACAAAAATAASAGAAAGCGTAAAAATCCAAATTATCTGGGGGAAAAGTTACCCCTCGGAAGCTTTTATGCAATGATTAAGTCACTCCGTCCGTTCTCTTAACAGCCCGAAAGGTTCACAGTYGTAGCATATTTTACTTAAAACATGCAGAGTTTTGTTTTAAAAAGTAATTAACTAAAGTAATAAATTATTTAAGATAATGCTTTAATTTATTGTAGCGAAACAGACGACCTTCTTCCCTTCTCTCCCAGCTCTGCGCGTTGTGAGTCACCTGTGGATCACAGCGCCGGTGTCACAGACACAACTGTCCGACCTGAAACAAAACTAAAAGGGAACGTTACGCAATTCCCCCTCCGAACTGTCACGTCCTCTAAACAGCAAAGTAATACATTTTAAATTAATTTCAGGCAATGCAAAAACGCATTTATTAGTCTCATAATATAAAGTGAAAAATATACATAAAGATAATTTAGTCCAAAATTATTTTTACGTTTTTAGAGGGACACATTTACAGGAGGAACAGTTTGCAGCATCACTCAGCATCACTTCGCTTTCTGAGAAGCTCATTTAATTTCAACAAAACACCTCTGACAGCAATTCTCATGCGTGGTTCGCAGTTTCGCTCTGGATTTTAAGGTATAGTGACTTAATAACAAAACTATATATTTATAAAGTGTGTCTTATTTTTATGCTAAGGTCATACTAGCTAACGGAACCTCTTTGCACCTGTACAAAACTGCACTTATTTTCCCATCCTTAACAATAACATAGTTATTGTTTTGAATTATATGATTTTTAAATAATTTTACCTAAAAAAAACAAATAAAAGGTTCTGGAATGAAGATCAGACATGATATACCTGGATTTAAATCTGGATAAGATTTTAAAATAATAATCTTTCTTTAAATTGTATTTTAAATCTGCACATTTTCTCATCATGTAGATTCTCAGGGTCTGGCTCTGTTACAGTGCAAGTACAGGCTGCAGGAAAGCTAATAAACATGTGATAAATCTGCTGTGTGTGTCTGCAGGAAGGAAGCATTGATGGGCAGTGTTCTGGCTTTGTCTTCCGGTCCGAGCCATCACAAGTGGCCTTTCTCAACAGAACCCCCTCCGTCCAGGTGGAACGCTCACCCTGCTCACTGGGACCGTCCGCCTCGCTGGGAGAGAAGAGATGGACGTCTACCAAACCCCGGCAGCTTTCACTCTCTCCACAGGAGCTGCAAAGGTACGTCTGGTTGAAAAAGAGCAAGAAAAGTTGTGGCGTAAACACTGTGGTTAGAGACTAAAAAGAAAAAAAAAAATCCACAAATTCCACTCAGTTTGGTGATGCAGCCAGCATCTTTTTTGCTTTAGCTACTACTACATCACAAAGGACCATAGTAGCTTCAAAACTGACTTGTCTCGTGAGGAAATTATGACCTGTTTTTATTGTAAAAACAAAATTACACGTGACATTAATGATTGTGATCTGTTTTCGTCCCTTCACCATTCAGATGTGTTTCCTCATCAGATTGAAGGTGTCAAGATGATTGTCAATAAAACTTTGAGCAGCTTTTTCAAGGTGGGTCATCCATTCAGATTATTTTCTATGTATTCACAGGTCGATGTTCCTTTTCAAACATTTTATTTGTCTTTGATTTTAATAAACAAGTCTCCTTTCAGGTTAGTCACACTCTCCACCTTAGTGCTGTCAGTCCTTCGTGTTACCGGTTTCATGTGGAGCATCTGCAGTCTGATGACTACAGCAAGGACAAGGTGAAGCACTAACAATTTAGCACCAGCTTATTTATCAGATATTTGTTTTCAGTTAATGTGGACGAATTTAAAAACAAAACATGCCAGTGTTTTTGTTTCGTAACATTTCAGGATGCCCCAGCTTTGATCGGTGAGATGGACTCTTCAGGTAGTCTAAACGCTCACGCTCTGCTGCATCTCTCTGAGCACGTTCGAGCCAGAACTGTGTTCCAGGTGAGGTCTCACTGTCTTCTTTTCCTTTTCAATCGGATGAAACGAATACAGCTTTAAGATCAACAATTCTCTGTCTGGATGGCGTTTTCAGACCCAGCAGTCTCAGTTTGTAACGTGGCAGTTTGAAACAGAGTACAGAGGCAGCGACTTCACTGCTGCTGTGACTGTGGCTAACCCCGACATCCTGAAAGAGTCAGGTAAGTCTCTCCTAGGGTCATTAGCAATGATTGAGCAGCGTTAGCATGTTGGGATGATTGAAAAATGTTATAAATTTGGCTGCACAATTTAACCTACAGGTGATATTGTGTTATATATAAACGTAGCACATAAAGTAAGGAGATTAATTCTTTGCTGTAACCATGCTTCTTGGCAATAAGGCTTATAGCAGCACCTGGAGGTACCAGAAGTTCAAAACAAGTGTCAATAACAACAGCAAAKCAAGCTGTTTCGCAGAGATTTGGCAATTTTTTCATGTGCATAACCCACACACTCAGCTCTACTGCTCATCCCACAAAGGCATGTTCCTTACAAATGTGGCACCATTTAAAAGGGAAACTAYCAAGCTTTCAAACAGTATAGGATTTATTGTATTTTACCAGGACATTTTGTATCAGTACCACTAAAAATGCTGGTATCAGGCCCAATACTGGCATTAATGGCACCACTAATTTCAGTGCATCAAATGTCACCAGTATTGTTATTCAAATCCACAATTATCTTTAAATGTGCATTTTTTTCCTGAAATTGCATTGAAAGTCTGTACTGTATTTATCTAGAAAAAGTTTTTGTTTTCAACCAGAAAACGTCTATCATAAGCTTTTAATAAATAAAAAAGTTGACACGGAAGGTCTAGATGTCTGAACAGTACATTGAAAATTTACACCCTWATTATAACATTGTAATAAAAAATATCAGAATATGTTGAGCGTACTTGATTTATGTCCRACACCTAATATAAATGAGTTAATTCATATCAAATATGGCTCTTTACCAGTGATCAAATGAGGTATTTAATGGCGATGTGTTTGTTGTGTCTTTGTATGATTTTTCTCCTGCAGTCATTCTCGTGGCTCACTTCCTGCAGAGTGTGTCCTCAGGACTGGTTTTAGGCGGGGAACTGGTCTATCATCGGGGACGAGCAGAGGAAGGAGGAATTCTTACTTTGGCTGGACAATATTCAAGTGAGACGTTTTGTTTTTCTTCCTGAATCTGTTTAGATCTTTATGGAAGTCAGCAGCAGAAGTGATCCTCTTGTGTCCCCCTGCAGGACCCAACTGGGTTGTGACACTGAATGCCGGCAAAGGAGGAGCCCACGCCAGCTACTATCACAGAGCGAACAAACAGGTGTGGTCATTACAGCTGTTTGGGGTCATTTCATAGTTAATGTGCAGAATATGGATGCTGGTTTATGATGTTGGTCAGATCCAGGTTGGAGTGGAGTTTGAAGCCAGCACCAGAACACAGGAGACCACCACCTCTTTTGGGTACCAAATGGAACTCCCAGAGGCCAACATGGTGTTTCGAGGTGATTTTATTTTTCTTTCAACTTTTATTCCATATCTTGGTGAAAAATTTCTAAAAACAAACATTTTTGTTTGGTTTGTTTCCAGGGATGATCAACAGTCGGTGCATAATAGGAGGAGTGCTGGAGAAGCGTCTAACGCCGCTGCCAGCCACCCTGATCATGGGTGCCTTCGTGAATCACAGAGGCGACAAGCTGCAGGTTGGCCTCGGCGTCAACGTGGGTTAACCCTCCACCTCCCACCCCAAACCGGTCCTACGATTAAATGTCAGCACCAGATCAATGGTCCGGACATCCATCCAGAGCAGACAGAAAACTTACAGACCTTTCAGGGTTTCTCYTCCGTACCAAAACACTTCTCGTTTGTTGAACTCGATGCATCTCACCTTGCAGCCCAAGGCGATGTTTTTGTGAAGGAGGAGTTATTGCACTGAAGACYGGGATGTGTGTTTCTGTTCCCCTGAAACCAGACGGCATCCTCTGGACAATGAAAAGATCAAAGGCTAAATGTACTGTAAACCTAGAATAACATTTTATACTGTAGGCCATTAATAAGGAAATATATGTAGATTGTAATAATTAATATAAGTTTATTTCAAGTTTTAACTCACTGACTAGATTTTACCTTGTTCTATAACAACTGTCAACAGGCAGTCATAAATTATTATTATTTTCTTAATTTTTCAGAGTTTTTGGCTGAAAATCAACCTGCAAAGATGGATTGTGTTGTTTCTTTGGCACTTTTCTTTTTGATTCTATAAGCTTATGGTCCAACTCTTGGAATTAATATAATGAAGTAAGCTAAACTCTACGGTTAGTTAACATAATTGATGTGAAGCCAATCTTATGGAAATGAATAAGCTACAGTCTGTGTGAGCTTTAGGTTCAGATCATCATAAATGATCAGTTTGGCTCTGAGGGATCAGTGTGTGTGAGTCGTTGTGCGTTTGATTGCTGCCGTGTTGTGTTTTTGCTGGTGAAAGTCGCTGCTCTGATTGTGAGCAGGCTATAACCAGAGAGTGCTGACCTGAATGCAACTTTACTTTATCAGARATTTCCAACCTCATTAAACTTGTAAAACTTTACAAAAGTTTTAATTATACATCATTTAGTTTAAAGCATGGATTAAAGTGCAAGAGAAACTGTCTTTTTTGGGGACTTTATTTATTAAAAATGTTTATTTCTGAGATCCTTCTTGTTCTTTTGACTTCACTTAAAAACAAACCAGTGGAGATTTTCCTCTCTTCTCTAAATATTACTGCTTTAATGGAACCCAGATTTTCCTATTTGTTTTTCATATCTATAGCTGCTTTATGCTATTTAAAGAACATAATCTATGTTTATTTCCTGCWCTGTACTTTATGTTGTAGAGTAACTGCGCAAGTTCTACAGTAAAAAAAGTAAAAATACATTTTTAAATAGGAAGGAAAAAAATAAATAAATAAAAATGTGCTTTACTTTGTTTCTATTTGATCCAGCGCCTTTCTTAAAGTCTGGATACTTAGAAGTTTGTTTTTCTGGAAGGTTACCTCCTTTAAACACCTCATTTTAGAGTAATAAAGTTTTACTCTGCCTGGACTGAAGAGCTAAAGCTAAAAAAAGTGGATGGCTGCCACGTTGGAGCAACTCCAATCTCAAAACTTAATGTGAACAATAATCTGCACACATTAAAATTATCACGAACTATGCATCACAAAGTTATTTACCTAGAAGTCTGGTTATTTGCATAAACAGCAGCAGGAGCAGCTAGCTGTAGCACTTCCTGTCCATCTCGATAATCATACCGCTTGTAATAAAATGCAGTAAATAGTGAAATGATGAAACTGGCTGTTTTAGGATGACAGCTATCCACTTCAATGTCTTATTAACTAGATGCTCGTTTGTCAGTTAGATCAGAATTAAATTTGTCTTCAAAGTGAGTTTGTTTAAAGAGATGTTTAAGATTTTAACTGCTCAAAACATTTTTAACAAAATCACTTGCTTCAACTGGTTTCCARAAAAACAAACTCTGCTGGGAAGGCCTTCAGCAGAGTAAACATAAAAAAAATAACTGATATCATATCTGAGGTAACACCATTTTCAACTTTTGCACAAATCCCTGCATTTCTTTTAAAACATGACTTGTTTTCAGCTGTATATCAAATGTACAACTCACATTTATCATTAAAGCTGTAAAAACAGGTGATTATAATATAAAAAAACATATATTTAATATTTCAGTGAGTATACAGTCTAAAATGAATATTCTGTACATATATACACATACAAATATCTTCAAATATAAAATTTGTAAACATTTTACTTGCTGATGGCGATATCAGATCAAAGTGTTCATTCTCTGGTGAGGAAAAGAAAGACTAATACTGTCCGTTTAGAGTTCTCTATTTGTCTTTGAAAAAGGAGAAGAAATTTTTCCCCCTTTCTCCTTTCAGTTTCAAAGACTTGCTCCTGTGGAGTCCGACTGCAAGTTCCTTCTCTTCCTGGTCATCTTTCTTCTTCTTCTCCTCTCTTTGTTGCACCTGCTGACAGATCACCAAGCGCATGTCCTCCTGCCACAACACAAATGAATGAAATGAGACGTMTGTGAAGGAGTTACAGACGGTAAAAAGCTGCTCTAGTTTTATTTGCTTTACTCCTCGTGACATGTCCCTGTGTTATGATCAATTAACTGAGTCTTCTCTTTGCAGCGGATTGGCCAGTAAGAATTTAAAAGGTGCAGACTCCGCCTACTCGCCTATTTGGTTTTGTCTAAATGGGTGTTTAAAAAAAATATTGTGCAAACACGTCATTGTCTGGACTCTATATGTTGTGCATCTTGTGAGTTCAACACTTCTCGTGATATCTTTATGCTCCTCAAACGCACAGAGACGAATGCTCTTTGGTTTTTCACAGAGACGAAGGAAAACTGGCAGAGGGTTGGAGTGCAGCTCAGGGAGAAAGGTTTCGCTCGACAGAACACAAGATACCCCCCCGTGTGATGGGATGACGTCATCATGTTTGTGATGACGTYTAACCATTTGTTCCATCTGTCCGGTGAAATCTGTCGACGCTCACCTGCCAAGCATCCAGCTCCTGAGACAGCGCCACCTTGTGCTTGATGGTGTTGAGGAGCTGCTGAGTCAGCGATTCTTTTTCCTGACGGACCGAGGCCAGCTCACGCTCCAAAGAGCTGGATTTTTGGGGGTAAAAGTGGTAAAGCACATTGAGCAGGTGACGTTCAAATCCTAAAATATTGGGTTTCAGTGAAACTTGAGTGTTTTTTTTTCTTTACCTGTAGCTTGGTTTTCCTGGGCTGCTTCTGAAGGGTTTGACTTCCTCCCTCAAAGACTCCAGTTCTTCCCGCTGAGACTGAAGCTGCAGAATTGAGAAAAGAGATGTTCAGAAGTTCATCAGTTTTTCTACATTTACCAAAGTTACAGGAAAAACTCTCTTTCTCTTGATTATGTTGAATAAAATGATTGATTTTATCTGTACTTGTAAAAGACTTGAACTTTCATAGTGATCTGTTGGCTTTGATCAAATGAAAGACGATTCCTCTTTGTGAAATATTTGTGTGGGTGGTAACAGAGAGCTCAACAAACCTCCTCCTTTAATGTCTGCATTTCTTCATCCTTGGCCTGCAGCACGGTGGAGTGAGCCAGGAGAGCCTCTGTAGCCTAACAGGAGGTTGTTTTTTAACACAACAACACAAAAGGTCACAGCAGTGAAAATACGATAAAGACTGATGCAAATTTTAGAAAAAGGATGACGTCAGCTGTAGACACTGGTTAGTGGATATAACCAAAGGAGGAACATCAGTACAGAGTTAGTGCACACTTTCTAAGCTAGAGTTGGGTGTGTGTGTGCGCCTCTGCGAGTACCTGTGTTTGCTGAATTTCACTCAGCAAAGACAGAGGATGTGTGTGTGGGCTGTCCAGGACGCTCTCCTCTCCCAGGTTCAGAGCTTTTTGTTGTAAAGAACGATTTAAGGTGCGCAACTCAAATACAGCCCCCTGCTCCTGCTCTATCTACACACACACACACACACACACACACACACACACACACACACACACACACACACACACACACTGTGAGTGACAGGGAAGAGCACCAAGCTTTGAAGCTGTGAAGTTAGTCATAACTGTTAATGATGATTAATCTTAGTCACGATGCAGTTTTTTTTTTTTGTTTGTTTCCTGGAGTTTAAGTGGTTTGGTGGATTCTCTGATCCTCACCTCGGCTTCTTTCTCGCTCAGCTTCACCTGCAGCTCCGACAGCCGGACCCTCAGTCCAGCTCTCTCAGACCGCAGTCTTTGGCAGTCCTCTTCTGAGGCTTTGAGTTGTGTTTCTATATGGGAGAGACGCCCCACCAGAACTCGATTCTAGATGAGAGGAATGGAAAGACAATCGTTTGCATGCAAAAATATCACTATCCAGAAATGTAAAAAATAAATAAATAAGAAGCCGAAGCTAACACTGACAGCTAATCGCTAACAACTAAGATGCTGTTTCTCAGTCTGCGTCACATCTTCATCTCCTTGATATAGACAGATGGGACTGACACAAACCTGTTTATTTAGCTTGTTAGCAGATGTAAATTTGGCAAAATCTAATTTAGTGGAAGTGACTTGGTTAGTGAAAACACTAACCCACTAAACAAAAAATTTGTTCCACTATTAGAACCATGCCCACCACTAAAAATACTTGAAATTTGTAACTTGTCAAATTTCTGTAAGTTTAGTGAAACTTTAGCTCAAGTTGTTTGAAGTTAAACACAAATTTCCAGAACTTCATTTTACATCAGATCAGGAGTTAAATAATATCTCCACTCTTAAAGTCCCTTAAACAGTTTTACGTTGGCCTTGGGTGAAAAATAAAATAAAATAAATCATGTTTAATTACAGAAGTAAACAACACATCTTTGAAATTTTAGACCATTTTAACCTCATTATTCAGCCACGTTTCCAACTGTGCTGCACCAATCCAAACAGTTATTACTAAAAAGTGAGATTACCTCTGCTTGCATATTTTCTAGCTGTGTGAAGCTGACTTTTCGGTTAAAAGAGGAATCCTCCATCTCTTCTCTGAGGGAACGCAGTTCCGTCCTCAAGGTGTGCTCCAGCGTCACGGCCTGTGATGTGTGAGACATGTTTGGCTGTGAGACCTGTTTGTCTGCATTGTGATGATGACACATATTTGTCTGTTTGAACCATAGAGATCTTATTATTATTATTATTATTATTAATATTCAGCTCTGTGGTCTGAACTGACCTCAGCCAGCTGCTCCACCAGCCGCTGGTTGTGATTAGCTAACTGGGCCATCTGCTCGCTCTCATCCTTCCGCCGGTCTCGTCCCTCGTTGCGGTATTTCTCCAGCTCGGCTTTCAGAGCAGCTAAATCCGTCATCAGTTCGGCCTCCTTCTGGCCAGACTCCAGCTCGTTCATCTCCAGCTTCCTCTGGAGATTCAGTTTCACCTGCTGTAAATCCTGAGACAACAAACTTCACGTTTACTGTCTTAAAGACGGAGGAACGAGTGTGAAAAGTTGTGAAAATTACAGAAAATGTGCAACCATTACAATGAAAAGAGCCATTCCCACTCATTTTCTACTAAATCACATTTGCCCAGAGTCGTAAAACATTGAAACTTGAAATAAAAACAACACAACTCACGTTACTGTACATAATTCTTTCAAAAGTTTGTGATTTTATAAAATTGAAATTWTCCACTGAACTATTGACATAGACCGAAAATAAATAATATAATAAAACAGTGTCACTATGTTAATTGCTATATTTAATCGTGATGATGATACATTTCCTCTCATGTAACATAAACCCTCATTTAGTTAAAATTTTATTTGAAATTCTTATGAGGTGAGCTGTTACTTAACTTTTYGTGTCCAAATGACCTGCCATACAATTCTATTGTTTTCACATTGTGATTATAATTTAAATATTATTCCCTTTTCAGTTAATTTTAGTGAAAACTCCAGAGAGGCACTGCAGAGGGACCAAAGGGCCAGATGTGGGCCCCAGAGCCGCAGCTTGCAGATCCCTCTTTTAGCAAATGTACAGAGAACAGGCCCCTAAAACTCTAGAACACATGTCAAAATCAACCCCCACACCCAAAAAAAATATTTTACTTAACATGAAAATTGTTTCTTATATCAATGGCAAACTTTAAATTTCTGATTAAACACAACAAAATAAATTTAAAAGGTGAAAGATAGTAACAATTGTCCTGCCCCTGAGCTGTTGGCTTTAAGTAAATGAGCTGTCTGAAAATAAGCTGCTTTAAAGTCAGCATCAACCATAAACTAAATCTGCCATTACGCTCATGAGGCCCTCGGTGAAAATGAGCTTGACACCATTGCTCTAGAATCAATTATTCACTCTTTTCAGTAAAACACAGATGTTATCATTACAATAAATAGAACAGAAATATAATTAATCCACAGCACTTTCAGGTTTTATTAAATGTTTTTATTCTAATCTTATCAGCAGGTCAAAACGATCATGTTTTTCAACCTGATTCAAGGTTTAATGTTTTACACCGACTTTCCAGTTGTCCCCCTCCTACAGTGCTGCTATTGCCAGTATCACTCCACCCCCTGTTAACAATAGGTGTTAATTAGGTGTCAACGATAGCCATGTGATGTGAGTATCAGTCTCATGGAGGCAGGGCTTAAAAGCCTGAATTTTGTCTGAAACTCTCAGACTGAAGAAGTCTCTTGGAGGAGAGACGAAACGTTTCWTTAGAGAAGAACCCGTCCAGAAGACCTATACAATTTATTTCTTTTTGATTTTTTACCTGGATTACTGAGATGCATGAGGATATACTGYCATATTTACAACATGTAGACTTATTATTGTGTGCATTTTAGTCTCACTGTTCTTTCTACGTATCTGATTAGTTTTAAGCAACAAATTAGTAGTTTTAGGAAAAAAAGAGGGTTTTAAAATGTTACCTTTTTTTTAATTTTTCCAGAATGACACCATCGTTATAAGGATAAAATAAAATAATAAGTGCTGTCCATAGTCCGACTTTTAATACAAGCCAGGGAAAATGCAGTCACACTAACATGTTTAAAGTTTTAAAGTTTAAAAATGATTATGTGAGGATGGTGTTTGTTCATATGACTGTGAATTTTTAAGATGTACATATACAGTATATACAGTATGTTAACAGAGAAGATATGCTAAGACTTGGAAGGCACAAACAGATAAATTACCAACAAAACACATATGTAGCACTATTCTGAAAACTAAATTCTATTTACAAACCTCTCTGATATTAAGTACCATCCCAGTACAACTCATAAAACAACAAATGTAACCTAACAACTTTAATTACATTTTCACATGAATTATGAATCATTAACACTGATGAGCGCTCTCATTAGCCAGCATGGACAAAAACTCAGCCAACAGTTTAACTTTAGTGATTGTAAAAGCTTTGGAATACTTCCCCACTTCCATGTCCCGATGGGAAACTTTACATTCATGTTTGTGCTGTAGCCTCAGCTGTGCCCCTTGGTTATTCAGTCTAATTATATTTGTCAGTCCTCCTCTCCATAATGACTGAGGGAAGAAATTATTACAATTTTCTCCTCTTTGTGTTTGATTTTACACCTGATCACAACTGTGACGTCTCCTTTTTGCTTTATCTGGATTTAAGATCTCATTCTGAGCGTTTTTGGAGTTTAAACAATGGTTTATTTATGTACGCAATGTTCCTGTTACACTGCAGGCATCATTAAACAAAATCAGAGCATAGGTCTTTATTTATCATTGTTGGTGGATTGAGATCGTGTAACTCATAATTTTGTTTCATCTGAGTATAAAAAAAGAACTGAAACACTAACTTTTGTTTATTAAGGAAAGTCCACGACACACTCTTGCTGTGTTTAATCAGTCTGGTGGATATTTTTTCTGACTAGAGTTTTCTCCTCACCTCAACCTCCTTCTCCCTCTGCTCCAGAGCAGCTGCCAGCTCTTCATTCTTCTCCAGCAGCGCCTGCCCCAGCTCCGCAGCGAGGATCAGGTCAGCATCTATAGCTCCTCCGCTGTCGACGCTACCAGAGGGAGACGAAGATGACGCGAGCCCAAAGGAGAGGGCTATTGAAGAGGAAGAGGAGAGGGGGAAGAAGGAATCCTCCAGACTGGGTGAGGGTAAGCTGTTTTTCCTGGTGGTGAACATCGCTGGCACTTGGAATCAGTTAGAAAGGCGTCACCCCCGGCAGGTTCAGATCTTCGATATGACTATAATCACTGATGCTCTGGCCTCGATCGGCTCATGTTTCCAACAAAAATCCTCACAAAGTTCGTGTTTCCTGAAGCACTCAGACAAATCTGTAAAGAAGAATACACAGTAAATGCTACACGTGAGGCTGTTAAACCCTTTCCCCCACTCACAGGTAATATAATCTAAAATGACCTAAAAGGAGTTCTTTTGTCCAACAGGTGCTCCGGTTTCTCTGACTGGAATACCAGCTCCACTGTTCTGCTACCCTCCCTGAATTCCACGGGAACTGAGCCGAACTTTCATTCCAGAATGTTTTTATGAGTTTAGAAAGTTTTAGTAACCAGATCATAAAGAAACACTCACAACTTGCCAATAAGTTTAAAAAAATACAGCTAAAATAACCTTAGGATAAAAGAAGACAATATAAAAACTAAACCACTCAGGTTCAAGGGTAATTTCTTTGACATAATGGTTTCAAACATAACCTGTTATCATAAAACCCATCACTCTTCTCTAACAAAACAATTTAAAATACTTTAATTTTAGTCCTAAACTATCGTTTTCTAATAGATGAGAACAATATTTTGACAAAATGGAGTATTTCTTACCTGCCGGACGGTTCAGACTCAGATCAACAGGTATTCAAGGCTTCCTGTTTGGTGAATTGTGTGTGTGTGTGGGTCTGGGAGTATTTGCGCAACAGAGGCTCAGCTGGTTTCCGTGGCAGTGGGAACACACAGCGTGTAAATACAACCAGCCGGCCACACCTCCTCCTCCTCCTCCTGAGTTTAAAAAAAGGTAAAGAGGAGATTACACACAGAGGGAGGAAGTGACAGTGTCAGGACGATGGAAACAAAAAGACACACAGCTCAGACATCTAGTGGCTGAATAAGAAAGGCCAAACACAGTTCAGCTGTGAGGAGTTCACTGATAAAAGGTTTGGTACCTTGCTTTGGTTGTGAGATGGAAAGGGTTGAGGACACAAACAGGAGTCTGTGTACACTGACCTTCCCCCTCACCCTCCTCCTGTTTACCTAATTGGAAGCTTTCAAAGGAGCCTTGTATTCAGTTATGAAGAAAAAAAAGTGTGTGCGAGGGGGGTTGGGAAAGGGAGAAACTGTCCCTGCACCTCCATCTAAAAGTCTGAGCAGGACTTTGAGGTGTTTTTGTGTGCTGAAATGGCTTCTAGGCTCTGGTTCACTCTCTCTGCGTGCCTGCTGCTGGCGACCTGTGAGGCCGGGAGGCAGATGCCGAAACTCTCCGACAAGAAACTCTGCGCTGACTCTGAGTGCAGCTGTAAGTAACGACAGCTTGTTTTTACTGCCAGTTCCTGGATACGTGACGTGAAGCTGGAGGGACATATTCTGAGCTTTAAAAACTGCACACAAACACTGAAAGCAACACTCACATGGCAGTTTTATACTTCTGCACAGATCCTATCCTGATAGCTCGAGCACTGCAGGACTTCTACCCTGGAGACTGCAGGTTCATTCCCATCCGACAGGGGCAGCTCGTATACGTTTATGCAATGCTAAAAGACAGAGGGAACCTGTTCTGGGCTGGCTCTGTAAGTAAATAACATATTCATGGGACAACAAATATGGCTTTTATATAAACGTTAATCTAAAAATACACTTTAAAGCAGGGTTCTGTGGAAAAGTTATGATTTATTGAAGGTGGCTATTTAAACTGAGTCAGTTAAGAGAAATGACATTTATCTTTGACCAACCAATGAGCTAATGGCTAGTCTCATCTCAAATATTTTTAGCTGTTCATATAAAAGTTTCACTTTAACCTGTATTTCCAGTAGAAATATTTGCTACAGCTAGCCACTATTTAATGTAAATGTTTATATAAAAAAAATCTAAGGTTGGAGTTTGCAATCAGTGGCAGTCAATCCACAAGGGCGGAACACCAAAAAAATATTCATACACCCCACAAAGTAGTTCCTCCTTTTAAACAATTTGAATTGTTTAGCTTGTTGTGCATTGTTTTGTTCTGTGTGTTTTTGAAAAAAGGTTAAAAATGTTAAATAGTCATTTTTGTTTGCAATTTTTAAAAACTTTTTTGCCGTTATAGGGCGGTACAGGCCGACGCCCTGTGTTTGCCAGTGAATTTATCAAATTAATATATACTTCTCCCTGTTGCACATAATTAAAACTGACAGCTCCTCCAATGAAGTATTAGGGCGTAAAATAGTTTGCCCTACGGACACGTTCTGCTGGTTTTAGCACAACATTAGAACAAAGCAAATCAGATCAATCAGCAAATCCCGCTGTGTCCAAGAGGAGAGATATTCTGTATAAAATGTATTTGGAGCAGACTGAGGCAACTCAAACAGAACATGGAAAACTGACAAAGGGGAAAAAACAAAACAAAACAGGACATCAATATGGTATGAACTTTTTAAACCAAATCTTTGGAATCTGAATGTGTTAAAGTGGTAAGTAAGCAATTAAAGCTGCGTACGTTTAACCGTGTGTCTGTGAGTGTCAGGCCAAATGTTTTTTTTTACTATTCTATATATTTTTTTCATGTTATTAATCCAGAGAATGAATATCTGCCCCACTAATATTTATGCTCAGGAGCCGCCACTGGTGGCAACCCTGTAGTTAGAATTAATTTCTCCAAACTGAGGTCATCCAAAGAGCTATGTACAACAGGTAAGATATTCACTGTTCACAATCTTCCACAGAACCCCACTTCTAAATATCTGAACCCTTTAAAGACATCCTGCAAATCAAGCTTTTGTATAAAGACATAGAGTTTCATAAATGAAGCAAGCAGCACAACTGAGCATTTCCAKCTTAAACATGCACCAGTGACAGTTACCGTAATACTTATAAACTCAAATAATCAGCGTTATTTAATAATACTTTTTGCAGTGAAAACATGATCGGTTTCGAACTGTCAAGCAAAAGGCGTAACAGAAGTGTGTATTATCCGGTCTGTGCATGTGAGCCATGTTGGACTAGAACAAATACTAGCCTCAGAGCTCACCCTTCACATTTCTTTATGGTTTCTCTGCTCGCAGTAAAATTACAGAGAAAACCCCACTTTTAGATGTGACCTTTCTTTCAAGAAAAAATGAGTTTAGCCTTAGCCTGGAGCTTAGCCTGGTGCTGTTTTTTTACTCTTTGACAACAAGAAGAAAGAAAAGAGTAATTCAAATGGAATTTACTTAGAGGGTTTGCTGCTTGTAAACACTAAGAGGGTTAAACTGAACTGATGTGCAAATAAATAATCTCCTACATACAAAATAAGTCAAATTTGTATGTTTAAATTTATTATTCATACTTCTGAATACACGTTTTAATGAATGAAAATGTATGTATGTATATATGTATGTATGTATGTACAGTGG